TTTAGAAAGATGGTAATGATAACGCTATATGCAAAACAGAAAAAGAGACTCAGATGTATAGAACAGACTTGTGGACTCTGGGAGAAGGCGAGGGTGGGATGTTTCATCCCTTCATTCTTTCTGGAGTTATTTCTCCACTGATCTCCAGTAGCATATTGGGCACCTCCCTACCTGGGGACTTCATCTTTCAGTGTCCTATCTTTTTGTCTTTTCACACTGTTCATGGGGTTCTCAAGGCAAGAATACGGAAGTGGTTTGTCATTCCCTTCTCCATTTGATCACGTTTTGTCAGCACTCTCCACCATGACTCATATGTCTTGGGTGGCTCTACATGGCATGGCTTATAGTTTCATTGAGTTAGTCAAGGCTGTGGCCCACATGATCAGACTGGTTAGTTTCCTGTGATTGTGGTTTTTAGTCTGTCTGCCCTCTGATCGAGAAGAAGATCGAGGCTCATGGAAGCTTCCTGATAGGAGAGACTGCCTGAGAGGGAAACTGGATCTTGTTCTAATGGTCGGGCCCATGCTCAGTAAATGTTTAATCCAATTTTCTGTTGATGTGCGGGGCTGTGTTCCCTCCCTTTTCTTTACCTGGTGCCAATCTATGATAGAGGTAATGAAGACAATGGCGACCTCCTTCCAAAGGTCCCTTGCAGGCACTGCTGCACTCATTGCCCAACCCTGCAGCAGGCCACAGGGAACCCACACCTCTGTGGGAGACTCCTAGACACTCATGGGCAAGTCATAGCTAGAGACCAACTTTGAGATAATAGATTATATACTTGTTTGGTCTCTATAGAATGTAGCTTTCTAGTCTACCATTTTGCAGTAAATGCTGTGTCTCTTTTCTTTTTTTCAAATTCACTGGAGTCATTTTGTTTGTTATTAATTTAATGTCTTCTTTTTCACACTTTTCAGCATTCACATAGATTTATGGTCTTTCTTTGAGTTTATCTTCTATCACAGGACACAATGTTATCATTTGAGCTCGTTCATCTAGCACCCCTTTCTTTCACCCCCTCCTTCTACTTTCTATCTTTTAATTGTGAGTTTTTCTTATCTCTGCATCTCTGACCTTTTATTATCTTAATCATTCTTTCTGTCAGAGATTTAATTCTAAGAATTCAATTTTTTTTTTTCCTGTGTTGTGTTTTTAGAATCATCTGCTTTTAGTTCCAGAGATATAAAAAGCAATAATATTTTGTAAAAGGTGCACTTATTTATTGGTGCACTTTTTAAAAAGCAACGATCATAATAGTAATTAAGAAGGGGGCTACTAGCTCACACAAAAGGGGATTTGGGGGCATATGCAAAGTAGGCCCACCATGAAATAAGGTAATAACAAAATTGCACATTTAAAGAGTGAAGATTTTCAGGAAAGACTATTTATTACTTTGCACAAATGACATCAGAACCCACTGCCACTCTGTCAATGAAGGGAGGCAATGGATATTAACAAAACAGGAAAGTATGGTGTTTCTGAACTAATCTGTAGGGAATGAGAAATCATTCACATATTTCTAAAGTACAAGTATTTACATTATTTCTCATCCAGTGTAGTTTTACTTTTAAATAATTAGTAGACCTAAACCTTTAGTTTGTAGAAAAATAAGTCCTATCAATCTTTTGAATCTTTAAACAAGTGAAATTTATTTTTAATTGAGATAATAAATTATGATACTAAGCAAAGTATGCACATAGTAAATCAGGTGAAGTTCAATTCAAAATAATCTAAACAGAGATGTTTTATTAAAAGAACTAATATATATTTCTGAAGTATTTTAAGGAACCCAAGGATACTGTGGTAAAATGTATGATAATTTAATTGTGAAAAGAAATTCAGATGAAAATTTGGAAACTCATATATATATGTGTGTGTGTGTGTGTGTGTGAAAAGTTCATATAGACATGTTGTAAAAATTTCACATTTCTCTTCAATAATTTATATTTAATAAGTTGTATTTCTTTCTGATAGTACATCATGCATACAAAAGTCAGCATATATCACTGAATTGTCCTCAGTACAAAATGTGCCATTTTAATAACATGATACAATAAAATAGCTCTTTGACTTCAGAAACTTATGCATCTGATTTGATAGTACATTCAAATTAAATAGATATCAAATATTTTCTTCTCTCCTTCCAATATAAAAAGGAGCCAAAACATTTGCATATGAAATACGTGAATTGTCATGAAAGACTTATCTTTACAGCCAGTTTCAGCAGACAATATTTATTTAATCATATAGTCATAATTCAAAAGAAAATTTAATGACAATTTTATTTAAGAACATTGTCATCTTGTTTCTGGAAAAAAACAGTTGGGGCACTATTTCTGCCAAAGAGGTTTAGGAAACTCAAAACTGCCAGTTATGCAAATTCATACAAAACAACAACTCCAACGTCATTCAAGGACGCCTATTTGTAAAGATTATTCTTCTACTGTGACCATCTTTGTAATTGTGCATTTAAGAAAGAAAATTAAATTTTCAACCCATTTAACATCAGGAAGAAAATAATGAATCTCAGGGGTGGTTGTTTCGATGATTACATTGAACTGTTATAGATTTTGTTAGAGAAATGCCGCTTTCCCCATGATGTACTTTGCTTTCTGGTTGTTTCATTTCTCTTTCAGTTGCTGTGTTTAGCAGTAATGATGTGTAATGTTGGTAATGCATTGTTACTCTACAACAAGGGAAAATATTGTAGATTTGGGGGTTTATAAGGAATGTGTTTTTCTTTTCTCCAAACTATTTCAGATCTGAGAGAGAGATTCAGGATTTAGATTGATTGAGATCTAAACTTTACTTTTACTGTTAATAAAGCTGAGTGAGGAGCATGATTTTACATATGTGTGAAGGGAATTTGTTACTACTTATCCCTGGTTTTGGCTTATTAACTAACCTAATTAGAAGCACAACTGGAAAAATTACAGGATTTCCATGAGAAAATTGTCCCATGCAACTTGTGACCAGGAAGCTCTCAAAGAATAAAATATTGAGCAATGTTTTCTTACAGAATTATCTTAAACTTACTGTGTTAACTGTCTATCATTGCATAGAAATCAGTACAGACTAACTGGCTTAAACCAACGCTCACGTATTACCTCACACATATGTCAGAAGACCAGGCATGTCTATTATTGGTACTGGGTGCAGAGAATCACATCCTACAAAGTCACATTGGGCAGGGGTGAGGCTCAGGGTCCTCTCCTAAGCTCATGTGACTATGGACATGAGCTCATTTCTTGAACACATGGCAGCTTTTTTATTCAGGTCCAGATGGAGCATCTCTCTGATCTCAACAAGAGCCTAAACAGTCTTTTAAAGATTCACCTGGTAGGCCCACCTAGAATATTGTTTTCTTCTGATTAATTCAATGCCAAACTGATTAAAGACTGCTTTTATCTGCAAAATGCATTCACCTTTGTCATTAAGTGTAACATCATCATGGGAGTGAGTTCCATCAATCAATTTTTCCTGCAAACAAAGAAAAGGGATTAGGTAGCATGTTAACACCAAGGTCTGGGAATTTTGGTAGCCATCTTAGAATCCTTCCTACTATGGTTGTCAACCATAAAGTCCACTCTTTCCTTTAAGCAGTTAATATGGAATAAAGAGAGGGTCCAAGAGTTACCATATATATATTTTTTCTACTAGAAAGTATCAGCCTAAGGGAAAGATTATCTCCAATGAAGATCTTTGCTACATTTTATTTTAAACATTTATTGAGTCAAATTTCCGTGGTAAAAACATGTTCCAGTAGTGTTCAATGTTTATTCTAAATTTCCCCAATTAGCACTTCAAGAATTCAAGAGAGATACAACTCATAACATTATATTTTAAAACTATGATTTTTCTATATAGTAGCTTCAATGTAGTTTGAGCTTGTGTTATACACACACACAAAACCTTGGAAGAAATTATGCTAAACACTGTACTTCACTTAAAATTGTGCAGATTCTCTGGTATTATTCTTTTTTTTCTACCTCTTCCTATATTTAACTACAGATATTAAACACAGACACTTTATAATTCTTATCTTACTTTTATTGACTGAGTTTTCTCTTATATTTTGGTCATTTGGTCCTACCTTTTGGTAACTCTAGTAATTTCAGTAAATATTTGATGTCATTTGAAGAGTATATGTTCTAAATTGTGACTTCTTCTATCAAAGCTTTATCCCAAATCTGTATTCCTAGCTGAGTAACTGATGAACTGAGTCTAATTATGAACTTGGTGATTTTGAGATGAGCTACAGTTGCAGTAATAATATGTCTTATGTGTTTTACACTCACCACCCACTTCTCATCATATCCCTCCAGTGATTCCAAATCACTGAGAGATTCACTGAGTTGGCCTCCCACTAGGTTCTGAAGCATATAATCTTTGTCCATTTAGCACATTGAGACAAAAGAAAATTCTATTATGTTTTTCAGAAAGTTTTGACTCACTTTCTTATTTCTTACTTACATTGTTTATAATTTGAAAATATCTTGATTGAAAAAATCATCTGCATTTATGATCAGTTCTTTAACCTTTCTTTCTACCAGAATCTTGTACATTCTCATCTTCAAATTTCATGTTTTCAGTCACACAAAAATTCAAAACATTTGCTTATCTTCTCTGATGCTCAACTGTCATCCTTTTCTCAAGCCCTGTGCCTACAACAGTCTCTTTCCAAATACTTAGAAACAGAAATATCCTAAAAGAAGAAATGGCTGACATCTGCTCACCTCTCCACACTCACCCTCTATAAAATGTAGACTTTCATAATTATCTCAGCAACATTCTGCTGCCTTTAAATAAAACAGAAATTATTAAACCATCAAATTAGTAAATAAATAAATTTGCAATTTTTCTAGATTTCTAGATCATTCCCATGGAGGAATTATTTGGCTAAACACTACTTTTGTTAGCCAGAAGCAGAAGTTTTCTGCTGACCTAGTTTTGAAAGGGTTTGAATCCTCACCTCAAATTAATAAACAATGTAAGGAGAATACTGAATGTAAAGGTGTAAATTCAAGCATAGATGTAAGATAGAGTGAAATGGATATATATGTATTGCTACTGCCTAAACGACCTCCCTTCTGTTATCAAAGTCAAAGATTATGTAATGAATCATTTGTGTAACTAAATGTCTAAGTCCTATTTTAAAAGTCACATCTAGTTGTCTGATTAGTATGTTACCAAGAATTTCTTAAGGAATATTGTCCAGTGGTAAGTGAAACATTTTGAATTTAGAAAGGCCATACAAAATTGTCATATCATCTCCAGCATATTTAAGCATTTTTTGAAGTCCTAAAAGCTACTTTTTACTAGGTATACATTCTACTGGATAAGGAAAACTTATGACTGTTAAGATCATCATGTTTTCTATACCATTTGAGTATCATAAGTATAATTTAAATATAAATTTTGGGGAAAGCTCAACCATGAAGCTTTACTTTTTAGAAAAATAACCTACAGAGGAGAGTTTCATTTAGAAAGAATTTTATTCAGAGGTCACTAAGAGTTAGATGCACTCACTTTCATTAGAACAATAATTAGCATCAGGACTACCTTGGAGGTCCAGTAGTTAAGACTTCAGTCTTCCACTGCAAGGGGCCTGGCTTCCATCCATGGTGGGGGAACAATCCTGCATGCTTCACAGATTGCTCCTCCCAAAAAAGAACAGGATAATTAGCAACTGTTGACTGTAATATATATGCTTCACAGAGCTCTTTTGACCCTGCTATTTTATGTTAGGTAAAAGTAACCACATTTTAAACAGAATATCTATTTGTCCATATATGCAAAAATAGATAGTCACCTTATTTAAATAGAAGGTGATAAATATTGCATTTCATCTATCTACATATAAAATTTCATATGTATATATGTATTAGCCACATTATTTACACATATTACTTTCTTATATGCTAACTTCTGAGTTGATTTTCTTGAGGCAAACAAAATTAGGTCTCTGCCTGAGGCAAAAGTTTCCACTTCCACTGTAGGATCAAGAACATTATAATATAGATTATATAAATTGTAACAAAACAATGAATAAATCCTAAATATATCACTGTAGATTACTATACAAAGTTAAGTTATAGCAAAGGAATTTCCATTGTACATTTAGACAAAGACTTTGAGAGCAAAATATACCCTCTTAAAGCAGAGAGTTCAATCTACCATTAAAAAGTACACATCAGACAATACACTGTATGCAACAAATGTAAAGACAAAATGTTGTTGTTTTAAGAAGTAAACAGTCTTCAGTTTGGAAGGAAAATCGGTGGGAAACTAGACAGAGTCTTTTACATGTATAAAACATAACTTTAATTCAAAATGAAAAAGTTTCCATTTGTCATGAGAGGTATGGGTAAGTGGATTGAAGAGTATTGTTGTGTTTGAGAATGGTTTTAAGGAAAATTTTTTAGTAGACTTAGTATTTTAAGTAGGCCTGGAAGAAGGGGTAAGCTTTCATTTTGTAAGGAAGGAATGCACTTCAAACATATTTCTGCAATGAGCAGAAGCTGAGATGTGAGAGTGAGTCTTAAGTGCATGATGGAAAGTATATGTAAATGAAGATGGAAAGATTAGTCATGGTCAGGATATGAAGGCCTTAAATACAGACAAAAAGTTCTGACATCCTGTAAACCCAGAGGAATCACCAAGAAGTAAATTATTTGGAGTTATGTTTCAAGATAATATCCCTTAAAGCAGTCCTTGGGAATTTAATTACAGATGAGAGAAACATGACATTGGAAGGCCATTGTGAATGCTGGAATTTCATGTCTATTGTAATAGCCCAGGCAGAAAGGAGCATTGTCTCAATGAGAGTAATAGCAGTAGGAGTGAAAAAGCAAAAAGCTATAATGGACTAGTTAATAACTTATTTTTGCACATACCAATATTTCCTAAGCTTCTTAGAAATTTAAATTTACTTGTGCTAGAGAAAGGAAAACACTAAGTGTCTATAATTTGGCAGTTTACATCCACTGTGTTTACAATCTAAAAAATTATTAAATCAGACACATTTTGCAGCTGAGGAAACCAAGACCAAGAGATGGTAAATAACTTTCCCAAGGTCAGGGATGGTGCTACTAGGCACTACTTACAGTTCTAATCCCCTTCAAACATGTTACATAACATGTTCAGGTAATTTCTTCAACAGGTTTTTATATATACACCTAAATATATGTGTGCGTGTATATATACACATACATAACAATTTTATCATTAATTTAAGGAAAATAAATATTTGATATACATTTATTACACATATATATTAAATATATATTTTTCTTAAACTAATGATAAAAATTGTTTAAAAATATGGTTTTAAAAACAGTACCTACTTCCAATTCAAGATGGTGGAGTTGAAGGCTGTGAGCTTGTTTTAATTTCATGGCTGCAATCACCATCTGCAGTGATTTCTGAGCCCCCAAAATAAAGTCTGTGAGCTTATTTCCTCCTAGGAGAGCACCAAAATTGGGAAAGGTCTCCCTTGGCATAAACCTTCTCTGAAGTTGCCATTAATGTTATCTTAGAGCCCATACACCACAGGGCTGGGTTCAGTTCAGTTTAATCACTCAGTTGTGTCTNCAACTTTTTCACTCTCCTCTTTCATTTTCATCAAGAGGCTCTTTAGTTCTTCATTTTCTACCATAAGGGTGGTGTCATCTGCATATCTGAGGCTATTGATATTTCTCCCGGCAATCTTGATTCCAGCTTGTGCTTTCTCCAGCCCAGTACATTTTTCATGATGTGCTCTGCATATAAGTCCTTAATGAATCAAGGACTGGGTTGCCTCAGGCCAAACAATTAACAGGGAGGGAGATAATTGGATTAAAGCCTTACTGAGCAAGGCCCTGCCCACTAGAGCAAGACCCAGTTTTTCCCACTGCCAGTTCCTCCCATCTTTCTGTCCTCCTATCAGAGGACAGACAGAAGAGACAAGAAGTATAAGAGTCCACAGCTACTAAAATGTAAACCATATTACAGAAGATAATCAGCATGAAAAAGCAGAAACTTATGTCCCAGGTGAAGACAAGATAAAACCCTAGAAAAACAATAACATGAAGTGGAGATAGGCAGCCTTTCAGAAAAATAATTCAGAATAATGATAGTGAAGATTTTTGGATCTTGGGACAATAATGGAGAGAAAGCAAGAAATGTTTACCAAAGACTTACAAGAACTAAGGAACAAACAAACAGAGATAGATAATATAGTAGAAGGAATCAATTGCAGAATAACTGAGCAGAACAGATAAATAACCTGGCGAACAGAATGGTTGATATTACTGCCACAGAACAGAATATAGAAAAAGAAAAGAAAAGAAAAGAAACGAAGACAACCTAAGAGACCTCTGGGACAACATGAAACACACCAAATTCATATTATAGGAGTCCCAGAAGGAGAAGAGAGAGAGAAAGGCTCTGAGAAAATATTTGAAGAGATAATAGCTGATATAAAACAGTCTCTTTTTCCAAAACTTAATTACTGTCTCAATGTTTTGGCTTGTCACTCTAAAATGCTAATATATGTAAAAAAAAAAAAAAGAGAAGAAGATGACTTTATTGGCAAACATGGTTTGCTATTTGGTTAATGATATGTTAAGTTAGGAAAGATGTAGTATTTTCTCTAAGGAATGTTATCTTGGAGGATACTACAGTAAGTTCCCTGCATTTGAACCTTCAAGTTGTGACATTTCAAAGATGAGAACATGTTCCTATATGCAAGCTGGTGTACTGCACGACTGTACCTTTCATGATACTGTACTGTAAGATTAAAATGTTCTCTATTTTCTGTTTTTCTTTTTTATGTATTATACACACACATATATATATTATATATGTAATATATACCTATTATAGTACAGTAATAGGTATGTGTGAAAAGTATTGTATACCTATTACAGTACAGTACTATATAACTGATTGTGTTAGTTGGGTACCTAGGTTAACTTTGTTGGACTTATGAACAAATTGGGCTTACAAACACACTTTCAGAACAGTGCATGCATATGTAGTGGAATTCATACTATAAGAGCTACTACAGAAGGTCTATCACATTCAGCCCTTGCTTAAGCACTTTGTCTATCTCAACCTAGTTCAGACTAATAATTACCCTGTGAAGTGGATACTGTTATTTTAAAAGAAAATGGAAAACATGGAGGGTAAATAATGTGCCTTAACAGTGTGTGAATGAGAGAAAAGGGATTCAAACCCAGTCAGACACCGATATCTCTGATTATAACTACTGTTACTGTATTTACTTCTATGGAAAAACATGATAACTATGGTATTAATTAATAGAACTAAATTAATGCTTAAATATGGTAAATTTTTATGTTCCAAATCCTACTAAAACTTAAGTATCCAAATGGTTTAATGTCATGTCATGGCTTACTTTGAGGCGTAAAACCACAAGTACAAAACTAATCTTTATTAGGGTACAATGACTTTGGAAAAAACTTTTCCACTTTCATCTAAAATTTATCCTTTTTGACGGTCTTGTAAGCAAATCCACATTTATCATACAACTAAAATGGAGCTTTGTTTCTACTACTTTATTTTGTATTTTTATTTATAAGGCTATTCTTTTACTTTAGTCCTTTACTGCCTTCCTTTTTCTATTTCATCTTGCTTGATTTATTCATTTTTTTTTCCATAAATGAATTTATATTTGTATGAATTCAATGTTTGTATGAATTGAATTTGGTTGTTCAGGATGCAAGAGTTTGCTTTCAATCTGAGTAATATTGACTTCACATTTTTCTTCTGATAAAATACCAGCTTTAATGCATAGAATACTAGTTCAAATCAAACATTTTCTGTTCTGAAATTCATTATAGGCATATATAGGAGCCATCTAATCTAGCTTATATGTCTTATGGGAGTGTTTTTCATATTTTTTAGAATCTTTGTACAAATTTTGTTTTGTGTGACTTCTCATTACTGTATTTCAATTAGTCAATTTTATCTTAATTGATTTAAAATTCATTCTACTGTGTGACATGTTTGTCTCAATGACTTCTTTTTATTTCTAGAATTTTTCAGGTGGATTTTATTTTCAGAACAGATTTAAGTTAAAGCAAAATTGACAGGAGAGTATAACTCCTTACCCAAAGTGGTACATTAGTTCCAATCCATGATCCTACTTGACTATATCATTTTCATTTAGGGCCCATAGTTTACATTAGAGTTCACTCTTGGCATTGCACATTCTATATATCTGAGCAAATGCACAGTGATGTGTAGGCACCATTATAGTATCATACAGAGTTGTTTAGCTGCCCTAAAAATCCTCTGTGCCTCATCTATTTATCTCTCCCCACTAATACCTGGTGACCACTGATCTTGTTATTACCTCTGTAGTTTTACCTTTTCCAGGAGGTCATATAGTTGAAAATAAAATATCCACTCTTTTCAGTTTGGCTTATCTCCTTTAGCAAGATGCATTCATGATTATTCCATGTTTTTTCACAGCTTGATAGTTGAACCATTTTTGGCTCTGAATAATATTTCACTTCTGGATGTATCAAAGTTTATTTATGCATTTGTCTTTGGAAAGCCAGCTTTGTTTGTATCTATGTTCTGACAATTATGAATACAGCTGCTATAAAGATCTGTGTGGGTTTTTGTGTCAACATAAACTTTTAACCCAAGAAGCATGATTGCTGAATTTTATGGTAAGAGAATATTTACTTTTGTAAGAATCTGCCCAACTGTCTAACAAGGTGGTTGCATCATTTTGCATTCTTACCAGCAATAAATGAAAATTCCTGTTGTTCTACATCCTCACCAGCATTTGGTATTGTCAGTGTTTTGAATTTTGGTTATTTTAATAGGCATGTAGTGATACTCATTACTGTTTGAATTTCAAATTCCTTAATGACATATAATGTGGTGTATGTTTTCACAAGCTTATTTGCCATCTGTACATCTCTGGTGAAGTGTCCATTAAGATATTTGTCCCATTTTTAAATTGTATGTTTGCTTACTTTTGAATGTTAAGAGTTCTTTAAATATTTTCAATAAATTCTTTGTTGCTTGTGTTTTGCAAATGTTTTCTTCTAGTCTAGAGTTTATTTCCCCATTGACAGTGTTTTTGCAGAACAGAAATTTTTCATTTTAATGAAGTCCAGCTAAGCAATTCTTCATGGATTATGCTTGTGGTGTTGTAACTAAATAGGTTTTGCAAATGCAAGGTTATCTAGATTTTCTGCTATATTATCTTCTAACAGCTTCACAGATTTGCATTTTACATTTAGGTCTATGATTCATTTTGAGTTAATCTTCCTAAAAGGTGTAAGTTCTGTACAGATTTTTAAAAATTTATTTACATGTGTATATACAGTTGTCCAGCACAATTTGTTATATTACTTTTGCTCCTTTGTTAAATATCAGTGCGCTATATTTGTGTAAGTTTACTTCTGGACTCTTTATTCTGTTTCATTGATATATTTGTCTCTTCTCTTACCAATATTACACTGTTTTGAAGGCTGTATTTCTAGTATTTTTAATTTGTCCATCTTCATTGCTACTGGCTTATGTCACTTTGGGATTTTTTTATAATTATTTGCATTTTCAATTAACTATATTCGTTATCACCTTGAGGATACATATATATTCATTGGATAGCTCTTTTAAGGTTGTCTTGCTTAGAATTCTAAACAGATTTGTCTCAAATTTTTTATTTGTTAGCTCTCTTAGTATCAAGTTTCAATACATATTTTTGGATGTATTTTGTAGACTCATCTTTAATGTGCATTTTTGTGTTCCAGATTATACTTCTTAAGGCTACTATTTTGATTTCAATTTCATCTGTCTTCCTAAGTTTCTCAGACCAAAGTTAAATTACATGTTTATTTTTGTGTTTACCCATCTATAGTGATATTGGCAATATTGCAGATTTTGTTGCAAAGGTTTAGTTCAAAGTGTAGCCTCTAAGCTCTATCTGCTTCACTTGTTATCTTTTCATGTGTAATGGAATTTTATATGTCAACTTGACTAGGCTATGGTACCCAGTTGTTTGGTAAACATCAGTTTAAATACAGCTATGAAAATATTTTGCCGATATGATTAACATTTAAATCTGTAGACTTTGAGTAAAGAAGATTCTCACAATAACCTGGATGAGTCTCATTTGATTAGCTGATGGTCTTAGAGAAAAGACTGAGGTCACCAAGGAAGAAGGAATTCTGTACCCAGACTGCTTTAGACTCAAACTTGAGCAGAGCTCTTCCCTGTGTCTTTAGGCTTCAGTCTGCCTTGAAGATCTCAAATCTGCCTGCCTCCATAATTGCATGAGCCAGTTCTTCAATGCTGTCTCTCTTTCATGTATAAACATCTACTGTTCTGGCTGTCTGAAGAACTCAACACCATGTACAGAGATTTATATTTCATATATATATATTACCTGTAGCCTCATGAGGTGGTCAATTGCATTTTTTTGTTTTGTTTTCCAGAATAAAAAGTGTTTTAGCTTTCTTTTTTAATACCCAATATGCTTATGATAGAGATAGAGGTGATGGTTGGGGGTGCATCACCATAAGTAGGCTTCCTCTGCTTTTTATCTATGTCAGATTTTGAGAATTATTATTACCAATCCTTATATTCTATTGAAGAGTAAGAATATGGAAATATTAAATGTATTCTGCTTTTTATTTTTAATGCTGCAATTTTCCTTAAAAATTAGTGACACTTGTATTTCTATTATATCTAAATTACTGTGAATATGTTAATATAATTTGATATTTAGTTTTTTGGTTTAATATTTTCATTACTCCTTGACAAACAATTTAGCTTGTTGTAGATAAAAATAGTAAATTTCATGTTAGTATTTGATTTAGAGTCTCAGAATTTATAGAGATCTTTTTAGAATATTTGTGGATTAAAACAGGTCAAGACAATAATTTTCCAAAACATGAGGAAGTCCTGCAAGATGGTTTTTGAAGTATTTTAGAAAATAGGTTCTAGAAAAAGGTTTAGAAGCCTTTTGATGTCATTTTCTGTGATTTCAGTACATTTGTATTTTTATACATAGCTGTAAAGTCAATCAAAATATTTTAGTTCAAAAGCCATTATGTGTTATCTTAGGTTTATAATATTTTAATATACAAAAAGTGTTGTCATATTATCACTACACTTAAAATTCTGAGCCTGCTCCATTTTACTATAAAATTCTCAAAATATATTTGCTGAACGGGCTCATGCATGGTAGCTACAGTCTGTAGTCTCCCAACTTGCAGTTTATGTCACTGTGATGTAAAATTTGATTGGTTTATTATTTTTATTATATGGAATAAATTTAAGGTTATGCTAATAATTATATCACTTTCAAGCACTTGCATCCTATTCAGATTCTTTAGGATAAAGTGAAAGATGGATTTATAGTTCATGCCATGACAATTATGTAAAGCTGTCATGTGTTCATTGGTGTGTATCATGAAAATGAAAGTATTTTTATAGAACACGCAAAGATTTCTACATATAACAAGTGGAAGTACTTTCACTTAGCTTCAAGAACATCCCTCTATAGACCTCTTTATGGAAGGATTGAAAGAATTTTGTTCAGTTTTCTTTGCTGATTCCAATTCATACCACCAATTAATCTTTTCCTGCCTAGATGGAATCCAGGTCTCCTGCATTGCAGGCATATTCTTTACAGTCTGAGCCACCAGGGAAATCCCTAAAGCAGGGGTGAACAAGAGGCACCAGCTAGAATCAACTCACCACCCCTGGTTTATAAGACTGATGCTCCAACCAGTGAGTATGGAGCCCTTAGATGATCTTATCCAACTAAATATCACCTGTATCCATGATTATGTCTTCAGCCTCGACTCTTTCTTGATCCAAAGATTGACATAAACACACTTTTCAGGTGCTGGAAATGCAAAGATGGGGAAAGAGATCATCTTATCCTTTGAAACAACACACTTATCAGGTACTGGAAATGCAAAGATGGGGAAAGAGATTATCTTATCCTTTGAAACACTTGGTTTAATATGAGAAATAGATACTTCATCAGTGGACAAACATAAAAATATAGGAATTATATAAAAATTTTAAAATATAATGATACATGTTAATATAAAATGGTAGAGAAGTAATGAGAGAGATAGGACTTCAGCATGTTTAAACTGCTACAAAATATTTTTTTAATATTTTGTAAATATTGTTCTAGACACTAATTAAAATTAAATGTCTAGATTTATGGTATGCTTATTGATTTAAAGTATGTGTTGTAGTTTTGCACTGTAGAGAAATATACTTTCTGAATATTATAGAGGGCAAGTAAAGTGTTCATATAGTGGATTATATTCCTTATTCTATCATTTTTCCTTATGAGCTTTTCCTATTTTTCTATTCTTCTATTAAGTCATATAAGAAAAAATATATATATTATATATATACATTTCCTCATACATTTATACATATTATATGAGACTATTTCTAGAAATACAAGCCCACATACATGCTATACACACAGAGTTATTACCAAATAAAGGTATAAAAATAATAGGACAAGAGCAATGAGAGTTATACACTTTGTGTCATTGTTTTTCCATTTCCCTTATTTCATTAAATCTATTATTTGCCTATTAAAGGCAATCTTTGGTCATAGGGTTGTTTTATGAAACAAACATCTCAATTTTATGGAGAACCAGGGGAACAGCTGTCACATAATCTTACTCCAGGATTTTCAGGCCAGCAGAGCAATTATAAAGCAGGACACTCTGTCTAATGTAGCTGACGTGTAATCAGCTTCCACTGTTGCTTTGACCAAAATGATGTGCATTAAATTTTGTAAGGAAAACATCTTTATTGAGCAAGAAATTATTTCTAAATGGCTTGGCATTAGGCAAAATAATACTCTTTTACAATCATGATGTTTGGGGGGATGTGTGTGCTGTGCTTAGCCACTCAGTTGTGTCCAACTGTTTTATCTCATAGTTGTGTGACCTCGGTGAACTAATGTGCATTCAGGCCCAGCTTGATGCTGGTTTTATATGGACTTATTTTCCTTTTATGGTCTCCTAGAATCTGAGGTTGATCCACTATGTTTCTTTTAGCTGGCAGGTACTTCATACCACAGTTTGCTGTTTCCTCTCCTGGGCTTTGTTAGGGTCAAGTATTAAAATATTAAGAGAATATTAATAGAAAGAGAATAATACATTATGTACATTTCTTCTGTTTAGCGAGAAATCAGTATTAAAAATAGCAGCTTTAAAAAATATAAACAGACAAAAATAGCTGCTCAATTGAAAATCTGCTGACTGGTTAAGGAGCCGATGTGTCTAGTGCAGGGCTTTGTAGAGCTCATTGATGGTGTGAATTTCGGTGAGCTCAAACTGAAGACGTTAAGTGTTGAGCTTCCAGAATTCCCACTCTGATGCTGTGGTGTAAGGATTCTAAACTTACCAGCTGCCAAGGGCTCCTGGCTACACACTATAAAGCTGAAATGTAACTACAGAATAGTGTGCCGTTTCTTTAATTCTGATATGTTGATGTTGATATGTTAATTCTGATATGTAACATTATTACATGGATCAATCTGTATAGTTTTGGTGACTTCTTTAGCAGGTCAGTGGTTAAGACTCCATGTTCCCACTACAAGGGGCCCTGATTCCATCCCCATGGGGCAACTAAGATCCCATATGCTAGGCATAAAACAATTAAATTAAAAAATATCCATATAGTTTCATCTAGTCAAAGGATGCTATACACCCCCTTGGACAGACTGAAGCAAAGAAAGAGAGAGAGGGGAAAGATGAATATATACAGCTATATAACTGATTCAAGGCACAGTTAGCAATAAAGTGGGGGGGAAACATAGATTTTAAAAATGCCTTGACCTGGCATAGGATGTGAAGATCATATTTTTTCTTTTTCAACCTTCAGGTAACACTCTCATTTAAATCATTTATGCATTTGTAATTTATTCACTTAAGCAAGATGCACTCACTATTACTAAAAAAATGCCAGACAGTGTCCAATATATTGGAGATTCAGTAAGCAAGGCTGGCAACGACTATGCTCTCGGCAGTTATGTTCAATAGGATGGACCTAGAATCTGTTATACAGAGTGAAGTACATTCAGTCAGTTCAGTCAGTTCAGTTTGATCAGCCATGTCCCACTATTGGCGACTCCATAAACCACAGCATGCCAGGCCTCCCAGTCCATCGCCAACACCAGGAGTTACATAAATATATATAGATGTTTAACTATATATAAAAATATAAATNTTATTATATATTAATATATAATATATATTATATACATGGAGAAGGCAATGGCAACCCATTCCAGTATTCTTGCCTGGAAAATCCCATGGACGGAGGAGCCTGGTGGGCTGCAGCCCACAGGATTGTGATCAGTCGGACACGACTGAGTGACTTCGCTTTCACTTTTCACTTTCATGCATTGGAGAAGGAAATGGCGACCCACTCCAGGGTTCTTGCCTGGAGAATCCCAGGGACGGGGGAGCCTGGTGGGCTGCTATCTGTAGGGTCGCACAGAGTCGGACACGACTGAAGTGACTTAGCAGCAGCAGCAGACATACTGAAACAATATATTGCTCCTTTTAACATGTTCATTAATTCTTACAGGAAGAGTCATATTAGTGAATATTCTTTTGTGACTTGATTTTACTGTTATCATTTTACCTGAGCCATACATATGAAGGTATATATGAAGATATTCATTTTCTGTGCTCTATGTTATGTCATGATGAGAATATAAAACTCTGTGTCCACTCTATTTTGATTGATATTAGAGTTGTCCCCCAATGTTTGCATTATTTCTAAAAATGGTGCTATGAATTTTCCAGTTCACAGCTATGATTGCTTACATACAGCAGTTCCTAGAGCACAGGGCTGGCAAAGTTTCTATAAAGGGCCACACAATAAATAATTTAGGCTTTGCAGACCATGTGGTCTCTGTTGCAACTATTCAACTTTTTCTTATTGGGACAAAAGTAATCCTAAACAATATGTACTTGAATGGGCATGGCTGTATTCTAATAAAATGTTATTTACGCAGAGGAGTGGATTTGTCTGGAAGGAGCCCTGTCCTAATGTGTGAGAGGTGAATTGTAATTGTTGATTTAGAGTGTATTGTGCGTATGCACTTTATTGCTGTAGGACAAGTTCTTTCTCAAATTCTTTCTACCAATTTACACTCACCCCAACAGAATGAGAGAGAACTTATTTTTTTGCAGTAACTAATAAGTCTATGTCTTTATAAATAAAAACTATTGAATTTTATTTTATTAATTAAAATTGCTCAAAATAATTTTTTTAATCAAGTGGATTTGAAGTGGTACCATTGTGGTTTTATTCATATACTTATGATTACAAATTAGGCAAGCCACATTTCCATATGTTGATATGCTATTTATAATCTTTCTTCTATAGAAAGCATGTTCATGTCATTTGACTAGTTTTCAGCAGGAGTGTTTTTTTTCTTATCCATATATAGGATTATATATTAAAGATATTACTTCTTTATTGATTAACTCCATTGCAAATTTCTTCTTCATGCTGATGGCTTGTATTTCCATTCTTTATAAATTCTCTTAATAAACACAATTGTTTAATTTAATGTGGGTAAATTTATCAATCTTATCCATATAGTTTGAGGGTTTGGAAGTGCATACCATGTTTAAGAGAACTTCTCTATTCAAGTTAATTAGGTATATCTTTTATATTTTCTTCTAAATTGATGGACTTTTTGTGTAAATCTTAAAGAAATTTAATTATTGATTANTACCATGTTTAAGAGAACTTCTCTATTCAAGTTAATTAGGTATATCTTTTATATTTTCTTCTAAATTGATGGACTTTTTGTGTAAATCTTAAAGAAATTTAATTATTGATTATGCATAACCAGTAGTATCATTTGAGCTACAGTATATTATCAGATTTATTTCTATATATGTGTAAACTTTTATATAAACTTTCTATTGTGCTTAGTTAGATTTTTATCTACTCCACAGACTCAATCTTAACATTTTAATTACTACTCTTGTATAATATACCTTGAAATCATTAAAGTATTATGTATTCTTATTTTTTCTTTAAAATTGTATCTATTTCTTAATACTTATACTGTATTAATTATACAATCATCTCTTCAAAGTTTATGAAAAGAACTCCACTTGACTCTGTGGGGAGTTAAGTGTAATAACACTCAGATTAGTTTAAAGATAGCTTATATCTTTTGATGCTATCTTTCCATCCATCCATAAAATCTAAAATTTTGACAGGTTTTAAAGGAATCAGTTGGGGGTGTGGTGTGAGGAGGGTGGAGTTGGGGGAACGAGTCCAAACTCTAGTAGTATTACAGATTGAAGTGTGTGGTGGTGGAGGAAGGAACCTCCCTCAAGATGTCAATGTCCTAATCCTTGAAACCTATGTATGTGTTATCTTACAAGACAAAAGGACTGCAAATGAGGTTAAGGATCTTGCCATGGCAAAATATACTGGATTATACAAGTGAGCTCAAGATAATTTCAAGTGTCCTTATAAGAGGGAGGCAGGAGTGTCAGAATGTGAGAAGGAAATGCGACAATAGAAGCAGAGGTCAGAGAGAAAGATACCTGAAGATGCCATGATGCTGACTTTGAAGATGGAAAAAGGGTCCATAATCCACGGAGCATAGTTACCTCTAAAAGCTAAAAAAGATAAAATAATTCTCCTTTAAAGATTCTATGAGGAATGCAGCCCTTCCAGCACTTTGATTTTAGGACTTTTGAACTACAGAGCTGCCAGACAGTAAACTTGTGTTGTTTTAAGCTGATAGGTTTTATGCTGTTTATTATAACTAGCAATAGATAACTAATTCAAAGTGGATGGCAAGTTGGATTAGGAAGTCAGCAATGC